TCCTGGATCATGGCTGCAACACACTGACATGGGTTCTGAAGTGCTGCAGCCAGACTAGGGTTAGCTGCCCCCGGGCTACTTCCAGACTCCCTCTCTTGAGGTACCTGGGTCAGGGTGGTGTCCTCAGGGGGGGTCCAGCACCATGGGTTCCTCGGGATAGCTGGCAAGGGGCAGGCTCGGCACCTCCTCCGGGTAGCTGGTGCGGGGCAGGCGAAGGCTGTCTTCTCCTTAGAGATGGGGTCGAGCGGGATCTGCCAGTACCCCTTACTGAGGTCGAGGGTGGTGATGAAATGGGCCTAGGCGGCCAAGCAGTTTGTCCACATGGGGCATAGGATATGCATCGAACCTCAAGATGGTGTTACCTGCCGGAAGTCTATACAGAAGCGCCGTGTTCCATCGGGCTTGGGTACCAAGACCACCAGACTGCGCCACTCACTCTGCAACGGCTCGATGACTCCTAGGGCTAGCATGGCCTGTACTTCCTCCTTGACCTCCTGCTGCATTCGGTGCGGCAGGGGCCTGGTCGTCTCCCAGATTACCTTCCTCGGCTTGGTCTGGATGGCATGATGGATCAGGGTCATGTAACCGGGTAGGACTGTAAAGGTTCTCCTGAAAGCCTGCAGGAGACATTGGGCTTGCTTTCGCCGCTCCTCCGTGAGCGTGTCGCCAAGCTGGGGGCCTGCGGGGTCCTCTGTCAGGGACGCGCGGGGACCCAACTCTGGTTCTGGCAGGTAAGGGTTAATAGGCCCTCCCGCTCTCGCCGTGGTTTCAATAGATTCATGTGATATCGCTGGGTTGTCTTGTGCCGGTCAGGCTGGTGGACCTCAGAGGTGATGGGCCCCACCTTCTGGACCACCTCATAGCGTCCCTGCCGACAGACCAGCAGCTTCGATTCACTCGACGGTAGGAGGAGCAGGACCCGATCACTGGGCTCAAAGGCACAGATCCACGCTTCCTGGTTATAGGTTCGTGCCTGGGCTTCCTGCACGGCTTTTAAGTTTTCGTGTGCTCCGGCCTGAGCGAGGTGCTGCTGGAGAACGTACTTCTGGAGTCCCTGGGTTGGCGACGGAAACTGCTCCCATGTCTTCCGCATTAAGTGTAATAGGCCCTACGGGCGACAGCCATATAGTAGCTCGAACGGGGAAAATTTTGTTGATGATTGGGGTACCTCGTGGATTGCCAGCGGTAAGGGCAGGAGTGGCTGGTCCCACTGGCGTAGCTCCTCTGAGGGGAACTTGCACAGCATTTCCTTCAGGGTCCGATTGAATTGTTCCACCAGCCTGTCAGTCTGTGGGTGGTAAACTGAGGTGCGTAACTGTTTAACTCCCAGGAGCTCACATACCTGCTGCAACAGCCAGGAGATGAAGTTGGTGCCCTGGTCCGTTAGGATTTCCTGGGGCAAGCCCACTCGAGCTAAAAACCTTCACTAGTTCACTGGCGATGGTTCGGGTGGTTGTTTCTCATCTCCTGGTGAACGCTGGCCAGAAGAACCGCGTCAAAATCCGGGCGAGGGTCTTTTCATGGCC